AGGTTTTTGTAGAGTACATTCAACCAAAGGACCCTAGCAATGGGCAGATGTACCAGAAGACCTTGCTGGGAGTCATTCTGAATATCTCCTGCTTATTAAAGACTCCGGGTGTGGCAGAAAATCATGGCTACTTCTTGAATCCATCTCGGTCCAGTCCTCAGTAGATCAAAGTACAGGAGGCCAACATCCATCAGTTCATGGCTCAGTTCCATGAAAAGATCTACCAGATGCTGAAGAACTTACTCCAGCTCTCTCCAGAAACCAAACACTGTATCTTATCCTGGCTGGGAAACTGTTTGCATGCAAATGCAGGCCGCACCAAGATTTGGGCCAATCAGATGCCAGAAATCTTCTTCCAGATGTATGCCTCGGATGCCTTCTTTCTGAATCTGGGTGCTGCTCTCCTGAAGCTATGCCAGCCATTTTGCAAACCCAAGTCCTCTCGGCTTCTCACCTTTAATCCTACTTACTGTGCTCTGAAAGAGTTGAATGATGAAGAACGAAAAATAAAAAATGTACACATGAGAGGTTTGGACAAAGAAACCTGTTTGATCCCAGCTGTGCAGGAGCCAAAGTTTCCCCAGAACTACAACCTTGTAACAGAGAACCTTGCACTGACAGAGTATACCTTGTACTTGGGATTTCACAGGTTGCATGATCAGATGGTAAAAATCAACCAAAATCTGCATCGGCTACAGGTTGCCTGGAGGGATGCTCAGCAGAGTTCTAGCCCTGCTGCTGACAACCTCCGTAAACAGTTTGAATGACTGATGATCATCTATCTTTCAACCAAGACTGCCATGACTGAGCCACAGATGCTACAAAACTGCCCAAATTTGCAGGTGTCCATGGCTGTTCTGCTGGTTCAACTGGCTATAGGCAATGAGGGCTCACAGCCAATAGAGCTAACTTTTCCTTTGCCAGATGGCTACAGCTCTTTGGCTTATGTGCCAGAATTTTTTGCAGATAAACTCGGTGATTTCCTCATTTTTCTCCGCCGCTTTGCCGATGACATCTTGGAGACATCAGTAGATTCCTTGGAGCATGTCCTTCACTTTATCACCATTTTCACTGGGAGCATAGAAAGAATGAAGAATCCTCACTTAAGGGCTAAACTAGCTGAGGTGTTGGAAGCAGTGATGCCCCACCTGGATCAGACCCCAAATTCCTTGGTATCCAGTGTGTTCCACCGGAAGCGTGTGTTCTGCAACTTTCCACATGCACCCCAACTTGCAGAAGCTCTAATCAAGGTTTTTGTGGACATCGAGTTTACAGGAGACCCCCATCAATTTGAACAGAAGTTTAATGTTTCCCATGTATCCCATCCTAAGATACATGTGGGGAACAGATACGTATCGGGAGAGCATTAAGGATTTGGCTGACTATGCCTCTAAGAATTTAGAAGCTATGAACCCTCCACTTTTCCTCCGCTTTCTTAACCTGCTAATGAATGATGCCATCTTCCTTTTGGATGAAGCTATTCAGTATCTGAGCAAGATAAAGATCCAGCAGATTGAGAAGGACCGAGGTGAATGGGATAGTCTGACCCCAGAAGCTTGCCGAGAGAAAGAGGCTGGCCTGCAGATGTTTGGGCAGTTGGCATGTTTTCATAACATCATGTCCAATGAAACAATTGGTACACTTGCCTTCCTAACATCAGAAATCAAATCACTTTTCATGCATCCTTTTCTGGCTGAGCGCATCATCTCTATGCTGAACTACTTCCTGCAGCACCTGGTTGGGCCCAAGATGGGTGCCTTAAAAGTCAAGGACTTCAGTGAATTTGACTTCAAACCCCAGCAGCTTGTATCAGATATCTGCACTATCTACTTAAATCTTGGGGATGAGGAGAATTTCTGTGCCACTGTGCCCAAGGATGGACGTTCCTATTCCCCAACTCTCTTTGCACAGACAGTTCGAGTCCTGAAGAAAATAAATAAGCCTGGGAATATGATTGTGGCTTTTAGTAATCTGGCAGAGAAAATCAAGTCTCTTGCAGACCTCCAACAACAAGAAGAGGAGACCTATGCAGATGCCTGTGGTGAGTTCCTGGATCCTGTCCTGAGCACACTGATGTCTGACCCTGGGCTGCTGCCGTCCTCCAGAGTCACTGTGGATAGATCCACCATTGCCAGACATTCGCTCAGTGACCAAACAGATCCTTTTAACCGCAGTCCCCTCACCATGGACCAGATCCGGCCAAACCCTGAACTAAAAGAAAAAATCCAACGGTGGCTTGCAGAGAGGAAACAACAGCAAAAGGAGCAACAGAATAAATACTGTGAACTAAGCAAACCAAAAACCAACCCCAGAGTGTAAACAATTGGTTTCTTTTTTTCTAGTTCTGTTCCTTTCCTTTTTCTTTCTTTCTTTCCTCCTTTTCTTTTTTTTTTTTTTCATCTTCTTTATTAAATTTGAGAACTGCTTTTGCTCAAATTATGATAATTAAGATTTCTGAGAATTTGTCAGTGCTCCCCTGGCTTGCAGGAAATTATACTTCTTATAATCAACCAGTGATTATAAATCACTAATTTTCAGGCTTTTTTCTCTATTCCTATTTTCCTACCTTATTAGTTCAACTGCTAAAACTTCCCTCCACTTTACTATTTTTCTCCCCAAGTACTGTCCAGACATTTTTAGTGAGCAGTACTTTTTAAGTCTACAGTGTCACGTATTTCATTGTCAGTTGATATAACCAGAAAATCCTGCATTATCCTGCAAATTTACTAGTCCTCATGATCTGGACTTAAGCCCTTATACTTGTTATAGCTCTATGATGTTACAAAACAACATTTCACATAAAAGCAGATACCTTGAAAAAAAAAAAAAGAAAAAAGAAAACACCAGGTGACCGGTGGTGAGACACCCTCTAGGCCCAGGAGCGCTCCCCTCCGACAACCAGGCTGAGTGGCTGCCCGGGAGGCATGTGGGGTCCCACAAGGCTCAATAAGATGGACATCTCAATAAGATGGACTCTCAGCACTGTGAGTGCGTTGGGCATGGACAGGCTACAAAGGCAGGTGCTACCTGCCAAGAGTCTGATACCCGACTCCACCTGCTTTTGTTTTGTTTGGGCACCAGGTACTGAACCCAAGGGTGCTTCAGCATGGTGCCCTTTTTGTTTTTTATTTTAGGCTGGCCTCAAACTTGAGATCCTCCTGCCTCAGCCTCCCGAGTCTCTGGGATTACAGGGCACACCACTATGCCTGACTACAAGATGGTTAGCTTTTCATGATGAAAGCAGTTTGTAGGTTTCCACAAACTTGACCCCATGGTTTGATCTCAGGGGCACCTGCTAAGTTACATCCTGCAACTTACTTGCTCTTTGCACTGTGGTGTGATGGTGCCTGCAGCTTCCTTAAAATGGAACTGATGAGCTGAGAGCTAAACTCTTGGGTTTCCTAAAGTCCTCTAACCATTGAGAAGGATTCCCTCAACAGCTCAATTCCTTAGCTAAAGGAGTCAAACCCAGAGTGTGCACATCTCAAGGGGTAGCTTTAGTGTGAAGGTGCCCAGAGACCCTTGCTCTGATGACAGCCTCGATCCCTTGCTCACTTCAGCAGCCACGGAGCCCACAGATCCAATCCCACGGAGTTCCTCCAGCCCCAGCTTTCTTAGGCCTCCCCTGGGCAACTGCAGGCTCCAGGCCTCCAGAGTCCTGCTCCTTTGGCTCCTGATTATCCAGCACCTTATTTTTTTAAAACCCCAAACTTACATAAAGGAGAACCACTTCCTTTAATTTTCCACTTCGAAAGTGTTATCCTGGGTTACGTAATTGTCAAGCAAGAACTGCTCTTGAAAGCTGATTCAGTGTTGCTTTGACTGCTCGTTTTGTTGGTGGTGCTGAGGATGAAACCCAGGCTCTTCTGCATGCCAGGTAAGTGCTCTAGCCCTGAGCCACGCTGTCAGCCCCGAGTCCCTGTTTGCTTTTCTGGTACTGGGGATTAAACCCAGGGATACTTAACCACTGAGCTACACCTCCAGACACTTTTTAAAATTTTTATTTTGCTTAGTTTTTTATTTTGAGACAGGTCTCACAAAGTTGATGGGGCTGGCTTTGACCTTGTGATCCTCCTGCCTCAGCCTCCTGAGCTGCTCAGCCACTGTGCCCCACCGAATCAATGCTGTAATAGTATTGTTTAAAAAACTAAAACAGTTACAAGATCTGATTCACTCACGGCTGTGTTAATAAAGCAAGCTATTCTTACAATAGATTCTAAAAGATTCCCATTAGAATTTCACGTGAAGAAATGTGTTACCAACAATTATCTGAATGGCTCGCCTCAGTTCAACCTCAGGTCAAAGGTGACAGGCAAAAATCAAGAAATCCAAACTAAAGGTTCTGAAGTCATCTGTGCAAACCAATACCACTCTTCTAACGTCCTCAGTACAAACGTGTGCCTCTTTCCTCATACGTACCATGCACTCCCCGCTCAGGAAATCTGGAATGATCTCTCTGTCGATGTAGTCCAGCAAGCCGCCGGGGCCCTGGTAGTCATTTCCTGCGTAAATGAGGAACTTCCTTCTGGTGTTGTCGTCAATGAATGGACTGACCTGTGAGGAGCCAGAGGCCGGGCTGTTTGATTTGCTGTCTGGTTTTCAAAGAGCAAAAGTCTGACATGGGGCTCTGTCAGGTCCGTCTGCACAGCATTAGGACAGTCAGAAACATTTTGCTTTTTCTCCCCTTTAACAACATCTGAGTTTCACTCTGCATCTTACTTTGCTTTTTCCCACCTAGTTGAGACTCCAGGACACAGACATGCAGCGAGTGCACAAATATCTGCCTTCTAGAAGGTTAACGGTCACTGCAGAACATCACACAAACCCACCAGTGTCCAGAGAACAGGGAAGACCCTGGGTGCCCGGAGGATGAGAAGGCGGCCCAGCGTCTCTGGGTAATTGGCCTCCACCACTTCGATGATTCGCAGCAGGGCTTTGACGCCAGGTCTCCACAGGTGGCGCATGTTCAGCCCTTCCAGGTCCACCAGGCAGGTCCAGGAACTGCAGATGGTACAGAGATGTGTTTTATTCAATAGACAGCATACTTGGCAAACTGGGTCCTATATTCAATGTTTTTCTTTCAATATTATAAAACAGTTGTTTATAGTCATTTCCAAACATACATCAGGTTTTTTTGTCTGGTTTTTCCATTTTTAGGCAACACGGGCATTGACTACAGGGGTGCTTTACTGCTAAGCTACACCCCCCAGCCCTTTAAAATTTTTAAAAATTTAGAGACAGGGCCTCACTGAGTTGCCCAGGCTGGCCTCAAACTTGTAATCCTCCTACCTCAGCCTCCCACATCACTGGGATTACAGGCACACACCACCATGCCTGGCTTATCACCAGTTTTAAGAATTACGGTGTTATGAACTCTATTCACATCTACTTACATAAAACACATAGGCTCAATGTGGTAGGACCCACCCTGAACTATCAAAGTCATCAATGAATGGCTGACAGCATATAAAAGCCTCTCTCAGATATGCTCAGTGACTAGCAAGCAAGACTTAAAGCTCCATCCCGACACTCTGTGCCTCTCCCCAGGGCACACATCTGACACTGTAACCCACACTTGGCGTTTGCACTGCAATAAGCTATTCCACAACAAATGTTCACTGAGTCCAGCGCCTTCTGAGGGGCTGAGAGGCAGCAGTGAACACGCACCCTTGCAAACCCTGCCCCAGGGAACAGACACTCTGGAGGAGCCACCCCCACCCGTCCATGTGCCCACCTTGGCGTCCCTGCACACTTTCACCCCACCTGACAAAGCCTGGAAGCCAGCTCAGGAACACAGGAGCGTTTGGGAGAATGGGGGTCGAAACAAACAAGCAAAGGGAGCTATGCTCCTGGGCTCCCGAGGACCTCAAGGCCCACTGCCCAGGCCAACCCACGGGGCCTGCTGGGATGCCCTGACAGCCGGGCCTAGGGGGCAAGGAGCACCAAGCCTGCAGCTGTCCCTCTCATTGCTTTCTAGTTTTGAAACTCCCTGGAAAACAGTGAACTACCAGACTTTGGTCCTAAATACCAACTAGAAATATGAACTCCACATTGTCAATAAGCCCAAAGAAGAGCGCACATCTCCCACCCACCTGATGGGCCGGCCGAAGACCTTCGTGTTCTCTTCACAACGCCTCAGGCCCTCTTCGTTTATGGAGAGAACCTGTCACGGAGGGCATGGAGACGGGGCAGGTCAAGACTCGCCCACTGGGCACACCACAGGGGAGCAGGCAGGGTGCCCACAGAGCATCCTGGCAGTCGTACTGGCTGAGCACAGCCCAACAAGGACAACCATCTGCTCTCAGGAGAGAGCAGACGCCATCCTCTGTGGCAAAGGGAGAGTCGTGCCACCGAGGGTTGGGCTCAGGGAGCCGCCACTCTGGGACGGTCTTCAGAACATTGAACTGGACGGCAGGAGAGAGGGAGCTGGGCGCGTCCGAACAGCCCCAGGCAGCCCAGGACAGCCCTTCAAGTTGGGGTGACAAGTGCTCCCTCGGAAGAAGTCCCTCTGTATCTGCACTTGTGCACAGCACAGATGACCACAGCCGGGAGCACGGACAGGAACCCACAGAAGGCCAGCAGCAGAGTGTGAGGGGGGTCTGTCTGCTCTAGACACCCGGCGACTCCGCGGAGGACCCCGCAGTTAAAACATCTGCAGGACGTTTGTGTGCTCCTCTGAGCTCTCTGCATACGTCAGGCTCTCCTTTCTAACTGCAAGAGCAAAGCACCCAGGGCAGGGGGCGCAGCATGGGACGCAGGGCAAGGCCAGCAGCAGCCAGGACTTACGTATCGCAGCAGGGCTTCCTCGCCCAGGGCTCGTACCAAGCCCTTGGTGTCCATCTGCCCCAGCCTGAGCACGTAGAGAGGCCGTCCGTCTGCAGGGGAGGAAGCAATCAGAGGGTCCCTGTGTGGGGCATGGGGCACAGGACAGCCCCGGGACCCCTGGCTCCGGGCTGGAGGTGGTGCAGCTGAAGAGCACCTACTGGGAGCAAGGCTGTGGGCTGCACCCCAGCTCCGCAAACAGGACTCCTGGGAAGCAGGAGAGCTCTGGAGTGTTCTGATAGACCCAAGCTCTCCCCTCTGCTAAGCAGCAGCTGGCTTCAGTGTGGGACAGGGGTGGGGTTGGCATCCAACATTTCCCCCAAAAGTCACAAAAGAAAAAGCCAAATAATGGTGCAGCTTAGCAGAGCCTGGAGATGGTGCTGCAGGGAGGAGGGCCAAGCCCAAGCCCAGCCTGTCTTGCGCAATAGCCGTCAGGCTGGGTTGCTTCGCTTGCACACAGGGCTTAGCAAGAGCCCAGAGGAGACTTCTGAATGCCTAGGATTTTTCTACAAATTCAGTTCAAGTCTCCTTTCTCAGAAAAATAAGCCTTTTTAATTTCATAAGTTTCCAATAAATTAATAAGATTTTTACAAGTCAGTCTTCCTCAATTTCCACTGAAATCCAAGAAAAATGGGAACATTCTGGACACCAATCAGCACACGCTGGCTCTGTCTCCATAACCTACAGATCTAACGGAGGGAGCCTGAGAGGAACCTAACTCATCCCACAACCCTGTCATTGCCAGCCACACAGGGGAAGATGATCCCAGGGCCAGAGTGTATGCAGCGGCCGGCACCTCTCAGAGTGCCGCCCTGTGGTTGAAGGGAGAGCAGCAGGATCGTCCTGCAGGGAGGCAGCGTCTGCCAGGGTCCTCTCGGGGTTGATCTTGCCTTTAGGGAACAGCTGGTTCCACATCTGTTTACTAAGCCAAGAAGTTTTCTGTGACCCCAAATCTTATAGAAAAGCAAGTTTACAAAAAGTTTGTACCAACACTTTTTCAGGTGGTGCTGGAGGACTGAAGCCAGTGTTCTGCCGCTGAGTTGCAGCCACAGCCCTTTCTTTTTTCTTTTCTTTTGCAGCAATCTTGCTAAGTTAGTGAGTCTGGCCTTGAACTTGCAATCCTTCTGCCTCAGTCTGCGGAGCAGCTGGGATCACAGGTGCGTCCCACCATACCTGGGTCCCTCTTCCAACATTTATATGGGACACATCTGTCCATGTCTTACTACAAAACTTTTTAACCTTTTAAGGTTCCAGTCATGTAGTGAAATAAATACAAATGTTTCCAGTTACAACCAATAAAGCTACAGTTACTTTGAAGAAAAACAATTTGGGTACAGTGGCACACCAGTGACTTGGGAGGTTGAGGCAGGAAGATCACAAGTTCGAGGCTGGCCTCAGCAGGTTAGTGAGGGATTGTCTCAAAATAAAAAGGGCTGAAGATGTGGCTCAGTGGAAAAGCCATTGGGTTCAATCCCTAATACTAGTAAATAAATAGCCAATTAGAAAAACAAGACAGACTGGAGTATTATAGTTCTGAAAGGACTTGTTCAGAGACAGAAGAGGAAGCCAGTTCCACAGCAGTCCCTGCAGCCCCCCTCCAATGACTGTGATTCAATTCTGTCCAACCATCAACCTGCAGCCCAGGAGGAAAGAGCATCGTAAGACAAGGCCGGCACTCCCGCGGGGGCCAGTATGCAAAGGGACGGCCACCCCCACTCTGAGTGTTGTGTCTCTGGTCTACTTGCTCCTGAGAGAAACCGCAGTTCTCTACTATTCTGATATGGAGGCCTGGCTGGACATGTTACAGCTACTGGAAGGCGTAAGTCATTAAATCCTTTTTATTAGCACAGTGCTGCTGAAGACACTCTGTCACCAACATTTGAGTTTTGGAGCTTTTTAAAATATTTTTCTTGTAGATGGTCACGATATCTTTTTATGTTTTCTTATTTTTACATGGGGCTGAGGATCAACCCAGTGCCTCACACGTGTGAGCAAGGCACTCCACCACTGAGCCACAGCCTGAGCCCAACGTTTGAGTTTTTAATATGTCAAAACAGGCTCCACAGAGCTGAGAATGGAAGTAAAGTCACCGTCCCAGGGCAACTCCAGGAAGGAGCCAAAACCACTGCCCTCCCTCAGCTGCCCAGGTGGGACAGGAGTGTGCTGGAGGGTCTCACCAGCTGGCTCACACTGGAAAGCGCTTCCAGGTCCCAGGAGAGGAGGGCGATGCCTTGCAGGCCCCTGGCTCTCTGCGGAGCTCCCGGATGCCCCACGGGGAGACAAGATGGCAACAGACGGGGAGACGCAGTGCCACCCACCTTTGTCGTGATGGTGCCATCCTCCCGCGTAGTAATCCTGAAGCACCTGGGGTGGGGTCCAGGTGTCCAGGATGTAGTCCACCTGGTGCTGCTTCCGCCATGTTAAGGACTGACACATGATCTCTCTGGCCTTGTCGATGTTAAAATCCCGAGCGCGTAGGAACCGAAGAATATGTTCATCCTTTGGGATCTGGGAGAAGAAAAGATGCTTTTAGGACTGTTAAGAGTTGCCCAGCCTCAAAATGTCAGTTTTTAAAATGACTGGGGTGTGATGCAGTGGTATAACACTCCTGGGTCCAACCCCAGGACTGGGGGTCTGGGGGAAGGTTTGTTGTTGCTAAGAGACCAGGACTCAAACTCCATCTCTTCTAACAGTAACCTGCACCTTCATGCTGTTTAGAACGAGCTGCTGCTGGGGCAGGGAGCAGCTCAGTGGTATAGCACTGCCCAGCGTGTGAGGCCCTGGGTTTGCTCTCCACCACCGAAAAAAAAATAAAATTAGCTATTCCCAGAAAAATCTTGGCCTGATGTTTAATTAAAAAAAAAAAAAATCAGTATCTGATTTTTCTAGTGATCTTCCTAAAGCACCCTTTCAGTCTGGGCAATGTGAAGACACAATGTCTGAAAACACAGGCAACAGTTCCAAGCTATGTGACGGCATACCATCGTGCCCTGTGCGCTTCTGCATGGAGATTCTACTAGAAGTTGGAATGAAACCATGCTGGGATTGGCAGTGTGGGGGTGCTGGTGACATGCAGGAACCTTCTCAAGACCCTGTCAATCAGCCTGGTCACCTGAATAAAGAAGAAGGCTGAGTCCAGGATCTGAGTCTCATTTGGACCAGGTCTCTTCTCTCTGTGGCCACCTGTTCACTAATGCAGGTAGCCAGACCATCCAGAGACCATGAGGAGAGTGGGAGCAAGAGTCTGCATGGAATCCCACCTTGGCACATAATCAAAGCACAGGGTGCAGTGAATTGGCATCATCTTCACTTGGAAAGCAGCACAGGCACATGGAAGCGGTGAAGAATGTGGGAACACACCTATAATCCCAGCACCTCGGGGGGGCTGAGGCAGGAGGATCACAAGTTGGAGGCCAGTCTCAGCAACTTATGAAGACCCTGCCTCAAAATAAAAAATAAAAGGGGGCTGGGGATGTGGCTCAGTGGAAGAGCACCCCTAGGTTGAATATCCTGTATCTAATAAACAAACAGGAATATGGTGCTGAAACCACATGGTCTTGGTTCAAATCTTGGCCCCACTGTTTCCTAGCTTAAGACCTTGAGCAGGCTACTTAACTTCTCCATGCCTTGGTTTCTGGACCTTCTGAAAGAAGGAGATGATGGAACAGCACCCACCTCTAGACCTGTTGGGAAGACTACACGAAGAGCTAAAAGCATGTCTAACACACGGTCACCAGACACCAACAGCAGCTGTTTTCCTAATGACTGGTGTTAAAAAGCTCTCGGGGGCTGAGGCTATAGCTCAGTGGCAAAGCGCTTGCCTAGCATGCCTAAGGCACTGGTTCAATCCTCAGCACTACATCAAAATTAATAAATAAAATAAAGGCATTCTGTCCATCTACAACTATTAAAAAAAAAAAAAAAAAACTCTCATGCAACCAGGTCTGACAGAATTAGAGACTGGAAAAACTGTGTGCAGGTGCCTGCTTCCTGCACTGGGCCACTAAGTAACCTTTATGCTTGCTACATAAACTTGTTATTAAAAGCAAATTTCTTATGTGGCTACAATTTCACATAAAACTTCAGAATTAAAGCTCAAACATTTCTAATCTTGGATAAAACTCTGACCTCCTTCCGAATCTTTTCAAAATTTAAAATGCATGGCTATCTGGAACATCATGCTACTCTGCCACTTGATGACCGACTATTTCTGAGCAGACCATCTCAGCAACAGCGCACAGAGCAGCAGCCATGCACACGAGGAAGGGCAGCCCAACCTGCTGCCAGGCACGTGGGCTCCAGCTGGCGACACTCCCGTGGGGATGACCTCTCCAGCTGCCGCAGGACCAGAGATGGCAGGCCGCACGGCCTGGGGGCCAACACTCACCTTGCCCTTGTGGGTCTCCTGGAGCCACTGGCGAAGCCTGATAAGGCAGCTCTCCTGGAGTGGGGTCAGGTCACCCAGATACCTCTTGATGTAATCGGCATCGAGTTTGTCTGCAACGGGAACCACATGGCACCATTTGCAAAGACGAACTCTGTTCCTGAGGCTCTCGTTGCCCAATGGTGTCAGGTGGGGCTAGTCTTGGGGTGAAGGAGACTACAGAGAGGACACATTTAAAGCAACCACCCTGGAGAATTTCAGTGACGTCTTTAAGACACCACAGAACCAGAGGTGAGCCTACTGACTCAGCTACCTTTCCCTGATTACCATTGAATTACCTTAATTCAAATAGCCACAATGCCACTCATGACATCACCATGACTAGAGAAGACATTCAATGACTGGTTTAATTCAAAGTGACAAAGCCCTTCCATGATATAAAATTATGAAATGAAACAACCAAGCAGATCTAAATCTTCGTTAAGGATCCAGCTACTGTGTTCAGGAACACAGTTTCTCCAGATAAGGTACCACTGGACAGATGAGATAGCAAAATAAGTACAACAAAAAAATATTCACAAGGTGAAAAATAAAACATATCCCCAAATCATCCCCACTCCCAGCAAACTGTTGAAAGTCAACAAATGGCACAGTTAGCTGCCAACAGAATGTATGCAAAGCAGAGTATGGCGGCACTCGCCTGTAATCCCAACAGCTCAAGAGGCTGAGGGAGGAGGATCACAAGGAGCCCTGTGCCCCAAGTTCAAGGCCAGCCTCAGCAACTTGGAGAGGCCTTGTCTCTAAAATAAAAAAGGGCTGGGGTGTGGCTCAGTGATAAAGTGCCTGGTACAAAACAAAAGTATGAAAAGATACTGATATTTTAATGAACTTTCTGAATGGCAGAACATTCTTGTCTTTTCTTATTTTCCTGTGTTTTCTGAACTCTTAACAATGGGCATTACTCTCAGCACATGCCAAGTGGAGCAGTGGCTAAGCAGTCCCTGAGCCCATCCACCTGGGCAGTCTCAGCCTGGACCGACTCCCTGTGCCCCAGGCAGGTCATGTCTCTGCCTCAGTTAATGTGAACACAGGGAGCCATCTTCAGCTTTTCCCACCCAGAGGGAGCCATAATGGCGTGAGCAGCCTCCACTCAGTGCCTGGACAGTCCCTGGCACCTGAGCGAGTGAGGTGTCCCGCGGTGGGAGTTCTAGGAGAAAGCACTGATGGCTCATGCTAGGAGCCACTGCAAAAGTATTACATTCATATGGAAATTGGGCTCCTACTGTTCACCTAGGCCCATTTGGGGACTCAAGTTACAAGACTCCCGGAGAGTTCCCATTGGTTGGGGAAGGATGGTAGGAGGGTGTTCCGGGGGAAGTGGAGCCCCCCCCC